CCCCAAAACCCCAAAACCCCAAAACCCCAACCTTATTTAAAGACCTTGAATCACTCAATTATTAAAAATAATTAAATTATTGGAGAAATATAAAAAGGGAGATAAACAATGAACTGTTCTCAATGTAATCAAGAGGTTAGAGATATATGGTATGAGATGGAATCAGATATGTATTTTTGATATTCCTGTAAGATCGACCATCAGAAAAAATATCTTTTCGATAAGTTTGTCCATATGAAACCTAAAACATCCTTGTCTCAGGGAGTCGAAATAGTAAAAGGTACTTTAAATCTCTGAGCTGAAGCTCTTTCTAAGAAATTTAAAGAGTCAATACCTCCTCGCCTTCAGCAAGAAACTTCCTCTATTGAAATTAAATTGGACAACTATAAGAGGGAATTGGGAAGAATGAATTCACTATTGGAGGCTCAAGAAGTAGATCAGGCTAACTACAACTACATCAAAATCTTGAAAGATATCTTCCAAACTGACTGCTTCTTCAACTTTTGGGTAAATGAAATAACTAAAGTAAGTAATCATTAAAACAGTCATAATGAAAACAGAACTTTCTCTACTTTGAAAAATGTTTAATCCTTCTTTGCGCCAAAGATTCATGCTCCTTAGCTAGAGAATGTGAACTCATTGGTACTAGTCTATAAGCAACGGATCAACCACATGCTAGTTACTTGTTGTATTCTGATTCTTGTGTTACCTTCCTGTTATGCTGGAGTCATATATTTCTCACAAGAGTTCACACAATTGAAGTAAAACCTTCACAGCTGTTGATAAGCCTTATTAGAAATCTGCCAATACCTCATGATCCAACCCACTATTGAGACTTACCCTGATGGAAATTAGATGTTTAGCTAGAGATAAAATTGAGCTAGAAAGTTTGAGATTGGACATACTTCCAAAATAGTGTACATCAATTTAGAAAGATAGCCAAACATTTTCTACAGTATATTTTAAAGTTCTAACAATATAGTCTAGTTCTAGTAATGATGCCTAAATACAACCAACCCTGAAGAGAGTATTGTGTATATCAAGCTGATGGGAGCATCAAAAGACCAGACTCTGGCTTTTGCGCTTTGAGGAATGATCAATACATTCCACTCCTAAGGCTTCTTGGCTAATTAAAATACTTTCGAGCCAATGACTTTAGCAGGTTCATTTTGAGGTTAACTAGTTTAACAAATAGATTAGGAATATAGAGATTCTGGATTATGCACAATATTTAGCCATCCAGCAAAATCAACCAAATTAATAGTTAAATTCCAAAATTAAGTGCTGTGAACTTTATGATATCATTCAGAAAGAGCCTTAAACAATCCAGAATGATGTACAGAAGTGTCCTTGAGATGTAAACCTCATAGCTTAACGCCTAACTTGGATACCAAGTCACATAGAAACTGAAGATTTCTTTCCATTTGTCTTGTGCCTTTCACTAGAAATAGCTATTTGCATGTGTAATCAGCACAAGAAGAGAGACTGACTAGGCTTTGAAGAAACTTAGGCTTTCGGAATTAAATTCTACAAGAAGATACTTTCTATAATCTATGAGTAAAATTCGTTCACAAGTGCATCATTTAATACTTGAAGGTTCTTCTGAGGGACATAGCGATCCTTCATATTCAGAAAGCGGGGATGATACATTCATAGACAAGTTTCACTAGCATATTTTATAAGTTTTGTCTCTAAGAATACCTTTGCTGAGATCCCAGTAGCTCAGAAGTTACATTACTCTCGTCTCTTCTGGTGATTTAGAGCACATAAATGGTTATTTCTGTGCAAGAACCCAAAGAAAAGAGTCAACTTCTATTTGTTTTAGCTGCAAACTTATTGACTGAGATAGAAGACCTAATTCTCTAGAACATTCTTGACAATCCTTCCATAATTTAGAGCCTAGATTCTGAAAGTAATCTGAAAAAGACAAAATAGCTTTATTTTGATTTTAGTATTGTTTATAGGACTCTCTTAGAACCGATAGACCTTTCTTTAAACTCCATTGCTGTGTCGAATTTACCTCAGAGTCTATCCACAGAAAGATAAGTTACTTAAATATTCTAGAGGAGCTGCTTGATAATAATAGTACCGATACATTTATAGTTCATGGGATGAAGAAGTTAGTCTCAGAAACTTTGCAGAGAAATAACCTCCAATTAAGTCTACCCTAAAGGACCATTTTAGCTCATGCTATGATTTGGCAACACTAGACATCATTTTTAAATTACTCATTAGCCCTTTTAGTTGAGTGATGATGACAACTTAGGCACTAGACCGCTATTCTTGATCACATGAACAGATTAGGCCTCCAAAGCTGAGTTTCCCAGATGGTATCCCTTAATGTACTCAATAATGCCTTCGAAATGTCTTCTGGGTTTATCCACACTTCTCACTTAGAATCTCTTCAGTGTGGACGCATCAGTATTGATTCTTAGTGAAACTGTGGAATATTGTAGTTGATAAGATTATGAAATCCTAAAATATCAATAGATATTACAGCCTTTCTTGAGGATAATATACAATAAAATAGCTTAATATTTGACTAGAGTTTTCGAGGGACCTTGACCTCTTACATTAAATTCTACATTTATTTAACCCTGACTCTATTCTGACTGTTAAAGATCCAATATTGGGTAGCCAGTGCCTTTAGAGGTTCAATAATGGGATCTTAGAATGTAGTCTGTTCACGATAGTTTAGTCATGAATATTATGCTGGCCAACGAACATTTTCTCTTAGGACTATGCAGAATCTACTATCTCATCAAGATCAGCATTCTTATTTTATCCATTGGGTAGCTTCTATTAGTATGACCCAAGATTGGTCCTTTCCTGATTTAACGCATGAGCACTTTCGTCACTCTGAAAGTTTTAGTTCCTTGCTTTAAATTAGAATGACCAAGCTTGAGCTATTTCTCGTTATTTAAAAAAGATAGTTCTTTTCTACAATGCTTCAGCCATCTCTTCTTATTGATAATTTTGACTAATATTAATACAGCTGATTGAATCCCAGAGAAATGGCAAAGATATTCAAGAGGATTCCTCAGAACTTTTGCCTGACCTGAGTTCAATAAATCCAGAAGAAGATTCGAAAAATTCTCTTTATTTTTCTAATGTAAGCAAATTCCTCCAGAATTTCACCCAAGTGTGCCATTGAGCTTAGCAATATTAGTGCTACCTTGGTGATTTTGAAGTATGCATTAGCTTTCAAAGAATAAGCTTATGCATGAGTATGGCCACTTGAACACTAATTCTCTGGTATTTTTACTCTCCCAAAGTTCCTAAAATCTGATATTTTATTGCAAATTATTTAAAATAAGGTCAAACTCATTCGAGGGTTTCTTCCTATTAATATTCGTGAGGTTATTCCCAGCCTTGGCTCTGCCAAGGATCTACTGGAACTACCTACTGAGGAGGATCCCTTACCTTTATTGAATTAGATAGCCCTCATCAAAGGTATTTGAAGTAGTAACCTTGGCGATATAATCTAAGATTCCTAGCCATACTATACTTTTGAATTGTAATGCCTACTCTCCTTTTATTTGGGCTATTACATTGTTGGAAATAAAGAAGCCAGCTTAGAAAGATAACCTTAGTTTCCTGGTCTTTAACTGCAAGTTATCATAAACTATAGGTGCAATTATAAGCCAAAATCAAGGAAGAAATCCCTCAGAATCTTCTCGCCTAATACAGCAAGAGGAAGGCAAAGTAAATAGACGATATTTTGGCGATCCTGAAGAAGAGGAGCAGAGTAAGTCAATTGTATTAAGAATGGACCTTGTGTAGAGATCTTGGATATTAGTAAGGAGCTTAAAAATGATTCCACTCCTTTTACCTCATTTTCATCAACCTAATGAGCTCGATTTGATTAGAATCGTTAATATGAGTATAATAAAGGTTAAAATATTGGAGTTTTAGGCACTATTTTCGTGAGTTCTTATTAGCTAGAATACAAACCAAATGATTTTATAGCTTCAATCAAACCCAAGCAGGGTCTGCATGAATACTCAAACTATACCAATTCCTCGTTTTTAGACAAAAAGGAAAAATCTTCAGTCGAAATTAACCTATCAGAAAGCGAAGAGGAGTCATATTCATTAGCAAAGATTAATTCCGTTCATTCATTTAAAATCATAGAGAACGAGCAGAACTGGCTAACAGATCATTTCAATTCTTGTCCTGATCTTTGAGCCAAGCTTCTTGATGAAAAGACTTATGAGATTGATTGAAGCAACCTTGAGCAGCAAGACTTGTTAGAGTTTGATAAAAAGGATCCAGTATTACCAGAGCTTGCCAGAATTTCATTCACAAATATTCCTCCATATCTATATTCTTTAAAAGAACTCCTTAGAGATCGTATCAGAAACAAAGTCTCAACTCTCGAGTTCTCCTGGAGCAAAGAAGTTTCAGCTGATGAATACATGGAGTCTATTACTCAAGCTGTAAAGCATGTCTCCAGGAATATTTTACTCACCAATTTTATCCTAAAGGACTTTTCACTCTTAGCAGACTTATTTCACACACATTTTATAAATCCAATGAAATGAATAGATAATCTGAAGAAGATCATTTCTAACTGGAAAGCAATTCCTGTAAAACAAAGCATTCCAATTGTGATCGAGATCTCCAAAGCAGAGAAAGGTACGTGCTACTTTTCTGTGCTCCTCTACTTTCTCAATGTTTTCAACTTTATCTATAGGCGAAGAAGATACAATCGTTGCTAGCCTGGAAGAAAAGAACATTCTGATTTGTTGGAGAGCTATCAATAATGATAAATCCAACAGGGCATAATGAGAACAAGTAAGATGTCATGTCAACTTTTGATTGGCTCATCCATATTTGATAATATCTAATTGCAATCTGACTGAGGTACCTCGGGGTTTTGGGGTTTTGGGGTTTTGGGGTTTTGGGG